AAACTGTAATAAGATTAATGCAACACTAGAACAAATGCTAGAAAACAGAACAATAGAAGAATAAAGAAAAGAAGAAAGAAGTTTGATTAAGCTAAAACAAGTAGAAGAATTAGAGACAGAATTAATTAAGAAACAAAAATTTGATAGTAAAATTACAGATTATGTAATAAAAGTCCTAACAAGAAACAAGAAGAGAAACAAAGACAAATATACTTTTCATACAGACAAAGCATTATATAAAGAGAAAGGAGAAAATAATATAAGAAGGATGAGCATTGGTTAGGTGCAAATTAATAATAGAGAAAACTGGTTAGAAGAAGAAATATCACTAGAATTTAAAGATTGGCCTTTAGAAAAATGTAGAATTAGCAGCAATATGGTTAGCAATTTTAAATATATCAGAGAAGAGGTGTATAGAAGTGCATACAGACAGTCTTGTAGCACTAAGATATATTAACAAAGTAATTCAAGAAATAGGAGATGACAAAGTTTTAAAAAAGAAAAATGCAATATGGATAATAAATATTGTAGATTTACTCAAAAGTAAGAACAATAGAATAGAATTAGTTAAAGTTAATAGTTATAGTAATGATAAGTAAAACAACATAACAAATATACTTGCAAAAAAAGGAGCAATGTGTGAAAGTACAATATTTACAGAAAAGATCGAGTGTGATAAAATAAAGTACTATTTAGAATAGGAAAACAGAAAAGTTGATATACCAACAAGACTTTTTTGCAAAATAGTTACAAATGTCAGAATTGAAGTTAGTTGAAAAGAAACAAACCCAATTCGAGCACTAGAGCCAGAAACTGAGAACACTTAATATAATTGGTCAAGCTTTTGAAAAGAGATGAATAGAACAAAAGATGTATATTGCACAACAAGAAAACTTAGTACAAAAAAAGCAATAGCAATTAAATGCATAATAAATAGCCTGCCAACATTAAAAGAATTAAATAGAAAAAAACCAAAAATATATACAATGACTAACTGTCAAGTATTTCAAAAGGTGAAAAGAAAACTCAAACACACTTAGCAAGCTGCATTGAACAAAAAAGCTTGTGAAAGAGAATCTAAAAGATAGCAACAGCAGCAGTATAGAATAGCCTTAAAGAAAATGAAAAAGTTAGAATTCCATCTTTAGTGCTATATGAGGCATTATTTGGGAAAACAGAAGCAGAGGAAATTACTAATAGAACAGCTTTAATAAAAGAGCTAACAATAAATAAAGTTGAAAAGAAGATCAGTCAGATTCTAAATGAGCAGGCAACACAGAAATGCATAGATATAGTAACAAGAACAGTGTGAAATAAATTCTATAACCAAGTATGAAGAGTCTGATGTAGAAATGTACAAGAATGAGAAAAGAAAATAAATATAACAAGCAAAATAAAAAAAGGGGTTCAAACTAAAAGAAGACCAGAGAAAAAAGCAAAGAATAATAAGATAACAAAGAAAGAAGAAAAGGAAAAAAAAAATGAAAAAAATAAATCAAATGAAGAAAGAAGCTTTGAAAACAATTAATATGCTTGTTACAGAAAGTGAAAGACCTTTCTGGTATAGCTTTAAGTAGTTAGATAAGAGTTTATCTTTAACTGAAATAGTGTGGCAGGTTGCACTTAGATACCAATAAGATGGCTGAGTGATGCTAGACTTGAGTATTGGGAAATTCTATATAATTATAAATGTATATAGTTTTAAGAATCTTAATAAAGTACTAGTGTAACTGCTTAAGGTTAAAAAAATAATAATAATAATAATTTCTTTATTATAGTATAAAATAATTAGAATTTAGATTTAGTAAGTTTTATATATATATTAATAGTATAATAGGTATAAGAATTATTAAATATAACAATCTTGGTAAAAGATATTTCAATTGAGTAAGGTATTATTATCTGCTATTTATAGTTGTTTCAAAATATATAATATTTGATTGTCTAAATTATTTTTTAAACTTTGAATATTTTAAATACTGTAATAAAATTGATTCTAATAACTAACAAATATATAAGATGAGGTCAAGTCAGAATTGGCTAAAATAATTATATTAAGTTGAATAAGAAGTTAAGTAATTTTAAAGTTTAATAAATATTTATTAAAACTATTAATAGTAGGTTTGGTATTATATAAGTTGCTAATAAGAGACTATAGATTATTTTGTAATTATTAGAATCTAATTCAAATTGTAATATCAAAAAAAATTAGAATTATTAATTTATTAAAGATAGTTAGAAATGTAATGCTAAAATTGAATTTTCTAAATATTGTATATATGTATAAGAATGGATTGAGCATTGTACTGTCTAATATAGATCTAAAAAGATAAAATTTGTGTTTTGTTCTGTTAAAGAATTTAAATAGAATTTAATAATATATAGTACAAGAAAGAATAATATTGTGTAGTCTGTATTTTAGAGTTAGAATAATAAATATATAAATATATAATATAAACAAAAAATTTTTAAAATAATGTACCTGCATTATAGTGCACCTCTTTATTTAAGGCAAAATATAATTATATAATTATACTTATAATAATAATATATTTTACATAATTAGTACAACATATTGGGCAATCTTAATTAAATTATGCTTTTAAAAGATTTAAAAATTGTTTCACAAAATCTAATTGTAATGGGTATCATTAATGCATATCTAAATTGTGTACCAGATTAGTTCTAGATAATCAATTAGATTTTAAGATTATGTGTAATATTATACAATTAAAAAAATTTAAAACAAGTTTTTATCTTGCCAAAAAATCATTATTTCTCAAAATTTTGCTAAAGAAATCACCTTCTGTGCTTTAATTAAAAGTTTTTTTTAACTGATTTTACTAATACCTTTTTAATATCTAACTTTATTACAAATGCTAACCTTAACATCAATAAATATTAAAGAATTTTGTACATTTTTAATATATAATTAGCAATATGCATAATCTGATATACAATTTAGATATACATTATTAATATTCTATATGTTAATACTACATTGCAATTAGAAATTATATAACAATTATTAGACCTAATGAAGAATTGAGAACACCTCATATACTGTAGTCAAATAATTTATAAATCCTTAGTTCTCTAGTAGAATTAGTAAAACAGAACCTATTGCTATATATGCAGTTTGTAATCTTTAATTTTTTTTACAGTTTTATATTTACAAACTTGCTTATTATTATATTAAATACTATATACTGTACTATCTTAACTAGAAAGAACTTTTTTGACACTAATACTAACTCTAATCTTAAAAAATATATATGTACAGTTAAGTTTTAATTATATGCTTTATTACTATATATGTTTATCTTGATGTTACTTATATATAAAAATATAGTTATTTAAGCCAATTTTTAATAAATTTAGATTAACTCCAAGTAGTTTATTGTTTATTATTTGGATATTAATATTAGCAACAGATATGAAAAGATAGAGTTACATTATATGCAATTTATGACAATACTAATAGTAATATTATTTATAAAAATGCTGAAATACAAGTAATAAAGAAAAATATTATGTTTTATATATAATGTTTTTAAATTTAACAACTTTCTAATGCTATATAATAGACCTCAATTTAATCTAAACCTAACTCTGTTTTAACAATTCTATACTTTATTTAATAAAGAAGTATATAAGCAAATTAAAGTCAATATTTACTAATTAATATTAATATTTTCTTAAAAAAACTTCCTTTGTCCACAATCTTGTATACTTACATTTATGTTTTATTTAAACAAGTTATGATATTATAGCCTGGCTCTTTACAAATCTACAAGTATACTGTCTATGTTTTTTTTTACTTGCTTCTTGTAATATAATATTTTAATATTCTTATTATAATAATTTACTGCTTTTAGTCTTTTTTTATCAACTACTTTCTGAAGATTCTCAAGCTAGATCATACTAACTTATATATTTTTAACAATATTTAACTAGTTGAAACTATTACTTCTTTTTGTAATCTAACTAATTCTTTCTTTTTAGTATAAACTCTATTTAAATAATTTTCAATTAACAAATTAAAATTATTATCATGATGTAATATAAATTTGTTTGCAGCAATACATACAAGACCCCAAACTTTTTCATAAAAAAGTATTTTATTAATAAAATCATCATTGGTAATTTTTTTTGTTTTACTATTAGCAAATGGTTATAACTATATATACTGATTCTTATTGCTTATAATTATATTTATATTAGTAGTTTTATCTTTAATATTACTGAACTACTAACCAAAGTATACACATTACTTCATTGTATCTAATTATTAAAATTTAGAAAGTCAATATAGTGCAATCAATTGTAACTAAATTGTGTCTTAATAGTAATATTTAGAATATGATAAAAATGACAACAAACAAGTTTTTTACTTTGTTGCAAGAGACAAGTACAGCTATACAAGCTATTTGAAAAAAGAAATATAAAATAGTTAACATCTTAACTTGTAACTCTTAATATTTTTCAAATATTTACAATTGAGATACATTCTAAGTATTCTAAAAGATATATAATATACAAAACAATAGCATTAGGCTCATCATCTATATTACTACTTTGTTAAAATTTATAAGAAGTAAGTGATTTGATTTTTTCAATTGTAGCAATACTAGCAGTCTAATATAAACATTTTTTTATTTAACTAAAAAGTATGTAATAGTTGGTTTCAGATAATGTTTAACTAAAGATTCAATAAAAGAAAAAATAGTGGTTTTATTTGTTATTAATGAAACACCTTTTTTTCATTTCTCAAATTGTTTTCTTTTTTTTCTTTTTTGCTACACTCTATTAATACTTTATCTAAATTACATAGTAATATATTTCTATTCTTTAATATCTGCTTAATATATGCATTTTGACTTTAACAAATGATATAGTTTAAATGCTATGCATAAATATCATGACAGTAAAGACACACACCTATAAAAAGCATCTACTATAAAAATGGCATCTAAGATATAATTTTGCAGCAGAAAAGCCTATAAACTAATTCCAATAGTATTTGAAAATATATAATATATTTGCATTTCAGTATTACTAAAACTTACAATAAAATTCATCAAATTGATCTTTCAACTTTCTTTGTAATATTTTTTTAATGTTTTTTTTGATATGCCAAATGCAAAAAAGATGTTGCATCTATTGATATTCTAACATTATTGTATGTTTTATTGCTAGATCACTGTCAATTACAAACACATAAGAACATCTATTATTTGTTGCTTTTTTGGTCATTTTAAGGACCTATTTGTATATTTAGTTGTTTATTGTAAACAAAAATATGAGTAACAATACAAAACTGCATGTTATTATCTTGTACTATAAATAAAAAAAGAGACATATTGTATTTGTTAGTAGCTGTAGTATTATTATGCCCAACTGTCTTATTAAATTCATACTATAATATAATTAGTTTAGGACTTATTCAAAACAAATTAATCAAAATATTAGTTTTTTCTTTTATATAACTTTAACAAACTAACAAAAATCTTTCTGTTATTTAAATAATAGTTGCTTATAAAACTATAATATGTCATATTTAATTGCACTATATAATAGTTAACACTACTGTATTTTAACATAAAAATCTCTAGCAAATATAAAATGAGAAGAAAAATTTTCTTTTAAGATATAATATATTATAGTTGCATCAATATAACTTTTAGTAACAAAAAAATTAATTTCTTCTTACATTTTTTCTGTAAATTATTTATCTTTTTTAAATTGAATTGTTTCAAATATTAAATCATGGCTATAATTATTATTTAGAGTGATAACAAATATGTAGATCTATTATTATTCTTTGAAGAATATAAAAGATTAATATGCCACTGGCACTATATTCAAGCTAAAGTACTTAAATTCTTAGCATTTTTTAGTTTAAATAGATCTGAGTGTTTACAAAAAATTGTTTATTTATAAACTTTCTTGCTATTTTCTGGCAAATTATTATTTTTATATACCCAAGTTGTATTTTGAATTTTTTAAATTTAAAAAATTGATGTACATAATATTTAGCTTTATTAAAGTTATTAAATAAGTTATCTTTATTCAAAAATACTAACTTAATATTGTTAGTTATATTACTAGTGTTCTCATTATAGTAAAAAGATTCATTAAAATACTCTGTTATATTAAGGTTATTTTCATTATAATCCAGATCTATAATTATAATTGTCATTTAAGTAGCTTCTATAAAGTGTTTTTAGCTTATAAAAAAAACTAATTTATAAGCAAAGGTCAGTAATATAAAAAAACATCATAGTAACAAGATATTTAAAATTTAGATAAATGAATCTCAAAAGATTATAACTCTAACAAATGCTAATTTATTCTGGGTTAAAAACTTTTAAGCCTAATGTCAAACTTATAATATTCTTAACATTTAGTATAAGTGTTCTTGTCTTGAACAGTCAAAGGAAGTTACTGTTAATCATGACATGAGGTTGCTATAGGTAACAAAATTAAGATAAGGTGTATATTTATTTAATGTACAACTTGTAGTGTTGTAGATAAAACCAATAAAGAAAATTATAACAATTCACTTAATTATTAATTATTATTATAATTTTCTTTTTTAGATTTTACTATAACAACTAACTGTATAACAAAGTAAATTAAATGTATATAAATAATTGAACATGTAATCAATAAACATATAGGCTAATTTAAGGTTTTTGAAATATTAATTAGGTGTAACTTATTTGACTAGAAGTGCACCATGATGTGCAGTACACCAAAATATAAATTTTTATAAACAATTTATTTATCAATATTTTTTTTGTATTGACAATATTAATAAATTAAAAGTCTTTTTTTTATTAGTTTAATAACTTGTAAATATTTGTTGTTAAGTATAAACTAATATAAAAGATTAGTTTTTAGAAATAATATAAATTATAGATTTAAAAAACTACATAGATGTGATAAAAAAATTTATAGCAAAAATTAAATTAGATTAATTTAAATATTAGCTATTAGTAAAAAAAAGTAGTAATATTAGTTATTAAATTAAATTCTTTTTTGAATTATATAAACTAAAAAGTCTTATTCATATAAGCTAAAACTAATACAGATGTTTTTAAATATTAGGTTTAAAGTAGGTATAGGCTGGCTTTTTAAAATGTAATCAGAGATTATTCTAAAAATTATAATACAATTATATTAATTAAAAGATTATAATAGATTTTCTAAAATAGAGAAATTATAGTTTCTCTTTAGTTTATATTATTTTTACTAAGATCAAATTTAATACAGATTTATTAACTATAATCTCTATTAAAATTTCTAGCAACAACACTATCAACTACAACTACACATTGATCTAATTTGGTACACTTCACTTACTGAAGCTATTACAAAAGAAGAAGAATTCAATACAATAGCCCAACTCCTAAATGGCAAAGCTTGTGGTCCTACAGACATAAGCTATGAAATGATTAAACATGCCAGTTCTATATGCATTCAATTTATTACTGTTATATTTAATCGCTGTCTTAACTCTGGCCAAATTCCTAAACAATCAAAATATAGAATCTATTCTATTCCTAAGTGCAACACTTTCAATAAAGACCTTAATCTAACAAGACCTATTAGCCTTATTGAACATATTTGAAAATTCTATACAAAAATTATTACAAACAGACTTAACTCTGCATTTACACAACACACTATTCTCTCTTCTTACAATTATATTGCTCTTTCAGACAATAGTACATCTATCTCTATTTATATTCTTAATAATCTTATTGAAGATGCATCCTGCAGTTACAAAAACATTTGGTTCTTGTTCCAGAACATGAGCAAAGCATATGATTCTGTCAATTTTACTTTTCTTGAACAATCACTTTTACAATTTGCTTTATTTCTAAAAACTATAAGTACAATAAAAATCTGTTCACAAATAGGCATAATCAAGTTATTACTAATCTTGGCCTTACCTTATCATATCTAGTTTACAATGACATTAATCAGGGTGAAACCATCACTTTACTGCTCTGAAGAATCTACTATGATCCTCTTATAACCTTAATTCATTTACAATTTATAGGCCATTTTATACAAACTACTTGGATTACTAATCTCAAAGATAAAAACTTCAACAAACTTGAAACATACTGTTTAGTCTTTGCTTATATGGATGACACCCTTTGGATTGCATCTTCACAAGCAGAACTGTCTCAAATTCTCTCAATAGCTGAGTCATTTTATGACATAGCTAACATCTAAATTAATTCTTCTAAATCTATACTTACAACTAATAATTTATTATCTAATTACAATCCTATTATTTTCAACAACTATACACTTTCTATTCACCTACTCTGCATACCTTTTAAATTCCTAGGTTGCTGGTTTATACTCAACAACAAATATTCTCAACAAACCCAACTTATTATTAATAAATCTTAACATCTTATTAAAATTGTTAGCTCCAAATATATTACTAATACTCATGTATGATACATTATAAATACTGTTATTATACCTACTATTGAATATTATATCCAAAACATTGTTCTTAGCCAAGCTATTTGTAAAAAAATCCTTACTTACCACATTGGCCTTGTGAAGCAAAAAGCTAAACTTAGCTGTACAATTCTTACTAGCACTCTTCTTCATTCTAAAATTTACAATATTTACAACATTTGAAACATTCAACTATAACATCATATTTCTAACTTCATTAAACACCTAAACAATCTGGACTCCTTGATACTAGTTCTTGTATTCACCTCCAACAACTACAAAATAATCTTTGGTCCTTAACCAATATATTAAATCATCCTAATTCTCTAATTGATAGACCAAACAAACAAACAACTAGTTTTAAAATTATTCAGCTTTTTTCTTATTTAGGGCTATCTATTACTTCAAACCTAATATATAATATTCCATACACAGTCAACACTGAAACAATTACATTAGAATCAATATTATCATCACACTTCAAATACCTAATTTTCAAAAAATAACTCTGCCAACACCACATTCTTTTTCTTAACCAACTTACTATATATAATAATTCTTGTTTTCTCAACTAGAAACATATTTCATTAAAAATTTATAAAATACCCAAAGACAAAAAGGCATTGTAGTTTATTACTCTTGAAGATATTACAACAAATTATTTCTATTATTGAACTCTTTACAATCATTACCAATTTCCAAAAATCAACCACTTTAGCTACACCACAGAATATTTTTCAAAATGTTCTAAGTCATGGCTTATCACCATACTTTAAGATCAAATAATTATAGATAAAGTCAGAAGACAACCAACCTCTTTTGAACAAATACTTATTATTCATTGGCACAACAATATTAAGCTTCATGCTATACAACTATACCTAACATCTTCAATTACAACTAAACCATGCACTGGCTGCAATCTTAATTTCAATCTTATTACTAACAAATGTACAACATTTATTTCTATTAATCTTGCAACTAAATTTATTAAAAAATTCAATACTCAAAATCAACAACTTAATCTCAATGCAAATTATCTTGATTTGCTCTATTTTATTACTATCTGACATCCTACTTAAATTCCTAATATTGCTAATATTCATATATCTGCATTACTTATTCTATCTGTTTTTTACAATTGTAATCTTACCAATACTCTATAATCAATTGCCAACTCAAATTACAACAAATTTGAACTTTATTTTTATACTAATGGATCAGTTATTCAGGCAGACACATCCCAATGCTCAATAGAAATTGGATGGGCCTTGGTATAAAACAATAACTTCTTATATATCTTCTAAGCACAAACTAAGTTTTGGCTATGCTTCTTCAAAATAGAAATTACTGCAATTCTTTCTGCTATTGTTACTGTACCTAAAAACTGTACAGTACATATCTACATTGACTCACAATCTGCTATATTTAAATACAATACTACCAATTTAACATTACTCAAATTATTATTTATCAATACTTCATATCATTCACTTTGGTATACTTTAATTAATTTTACAAACTCTTATAATATACAACTTATTCTGCATAAAGTAGCTGCATATCAGAATAATGAATTCAATAACCTTGCTGACAATCTTGCTTGTAATCATTTTAACCTTCTATATCTACTATTTAAACTACAAAATTATTATAATCCTAACTATATACTACAACTCAATACTACCTTATTGAACTACCTATCTGTCATTGTATTTACACAATTTGTTATGTTTATATTTATATACTATGGTCTTCTCAACATC